ATAGCCACTTAAATTAAAACAATAAACAATGAACAATAACTTAATTATATGTACAGAATTACAAACACAAAATTACAATTCAACAAAGTTTCTTAATTTTACGGGACGTATCTTCTTCCGTACTGGTCTCTGTCTCGTTGGCTTCTGCTTCATATGGGGTTCATCTGCTTCATCAGGAAATGTCCTATCGTCGGTAATAGTCATATCAGTGGTAGTAACTTCATCAAGAGCTTCACCGTTTCTCTTCTGAAAACCGAGTAGCGTTTCTTCTTAGATGGTGGCTTTTTCAGGTGATACGTCTGCAGCAGCATCATTTGTTCTGTTGTTCACTTTGTCCCAATTTAAATGTCCTGGAACGTGATAACGCCAAAGCCTGTTGGCATGCACCACCTTTGGCTTACCTCACCGACAACATTTTATCTGGAAAGTCACGTCTGAGAGACGATCCACTATGTCATATGGGCCTTCCAATGGAAAAGACAACTTAGGAGACTTCCCTTTGGTCTTCCTGGGATTATACAACCACACCTTGTCTCCTGGTACAAAACTGACTTCAGTAGATCTCTTATCACAACACACTTGATGGGGAATATCATCCATCCTTTCTGATAACACTTTCACAAACTCTGACACATTCTCAGGCAACTCTTCATAAGGAGGGCGTCCTTTATGCTTGGTTCTCCTTTTAGCACTACATGTACTGCATGTTCTGCACCATTCTTCCACATCTCGCCTCATACCTATCCAGTAAAATCTTTGTCGTAGGTGACTCAATGTTTTCTTAATTCCGAGATGTCCTCCTGTTAAATTATCATGGGATTGACGCAGCACAGCTTCCCGTAACTTCCTCGGTATAACCGTTTGCCAAGTCGTCACTTTCCCATCTGTAGTTTCCCATCTCCGTACAAGAATACCACCTGCAAGCTTTAACTGGTCCCTTTGCACCCAGTAGTGCTTTGTCACGGGGCTTAGACTAGACACCTTCTCCCAAGCAGGGCCGCAAAACACTTGCTTTTAGAAAATCAATCATTGGCTTCAAAT